AAAAAAAAAAAAAAAAAAGCTAGCAACTGGTGAGGTAGAAGAAAAGAATGCTGGGTTTAGAGCCAGAGAACCTGGTTTCCAGTCATTGTTGACCAGCTCTGGACCTGCTTTCCTCACCTATACTGGAGAGTGATGAAAGTAACACCTACCTCACAGGGCTGCTGTGGGGATTGGTGAGATAATGTCTGGGAATGCACTTCAGAGCTCTAGACAAATGTTGGTCATTACATTGTTCATAATAATCTCTTACATTTGATTAAGTACATTATAATATTGTATTTTTCACACAGACCAATGAGTCAGGCAAAGGAGGCAGTGTAATGATTCCCATTTTACAGACTAAGAAACCGACGAAAGTTCAAGTCATTTGCTCACGGTCAAACAGCTGTTTAGGGTCAGCCAACTCCAAGTGGAACAAGGTCAGGTAAATATGTACTCAGTCCTAAGTGCCCTCCCTTCCTCCTGAGTTTCGGGTTGAACCGCCCAGCTCAGGCAAGTCAAAATATTTGGAGGTCCCGGTCCATCCACCCCAACCAGGGACTGCAGCGATCCCTGCCCGCCACTAACAGACTTGACCTAGGGACCTTGAGGCCGCTGGGAGGGCTTCCCGTTCTGAGGCCCCGCCTTCTGGCGGCCCCAGCAGGAAAGCGCCGGCGGCGACAGGTCTCCGAAGCTGGCTGGTGGAAATCCCCAACTCTGGCGCGGGCCGCTGGGAACCCACTGGCACTCCTGCACCCAGCCGAGGCCCATGAGCCTGCGGGGTGGGGTGGAGGGTCCCTGGGTCTGTGCACCTGTGGCCTTGACAGTTCCAGCCAGGCTCTCCACCCACTCTGGCCCTCCAAGCCCTCCTTCCCGGCTACCCCCCTTCTTGGAGTGTGGGTGTTTGTTTTAACCCAACCGGGTCAGTGAATAGCACCCTTGTCTGGAGCTTCCTCTAGGCCTGATCCCTGGGAGGCTCATTCCAGGGCTTCTTTATTTTTGGACCTAAAAAAAAAAATCAGCTTTTGCTGAGGACAGCGCTGGGCTCCCCCGGGCCCTGGCAAGCTGGCAAGGAAGGGAAGCGGGGAGGAAGCAGGAACCAGACGCGACTCCCCGTGATCCCTCCCCCACCCCACCCCCCATCCGCCCCGCGTCTCTTCACTTCCCTGCTCTGCTTCCCGCCCCTTCAGGAAGAGAGCAGTCAGAGATCTGATCGCTCGCTGCGGCCGCTGCGCCAGCACCAACCACTACGTCCTCCTTTTCCTTCCACCCAGTTTTGAAGGGAGCGCCCGGCGGCCCGCGGGCCCCAGGCTGGGCAGGTCTTAGCGGGTGGCGCGGTCTCCCCTCCCCGGAGGTTCTCAGCGAATCACGTTGTTCCTGGGATTTCACGGTCGAGTGGCTCTTGCGTAACCCTACGTCCTGGCCTAAGCTAATACTTTTTAAAAATGTTAATGCCAGAATTAATCCTTTAGGAAACGGCAAATACTTCCGCCCCCGAACCCGCCCCGGAGGAAATGTGTAAATTACCATGCGGACTCGATTCCCTCACCCCCACAGCCTCGGGCGTTCCTGGCAAACGGGATGGGGGCCCTTAGAGAGACCGGAGGAGCGCCCAACCCAGACGTTTTCTTCTACTCCGAGGCCGCTGAGCGGGAGGCGGCTCTAGCTCTAGCGGGCAGAAGAACCGGGTCCTACTTAGGGCAGGGCTGAGTGTTACCAAAAAAGGGCTTTCTCTTGCCCGAGCGCTTGGCAGCGCGCGCTGCAGCGGGGGTGACGCGAGGTTCAGCCCGGGCCTCCTGGAAGACCCAGCCAGCTGGCTGCAGGGATGCCAGGCCTGAGTCCCCCGCCAGATCCATCTCGGCCACAAACGGGCGGGGGCGGGAGGAGGAGAGAGATTGCAGGGAGCTCAGAAGTGCCTGGGTGCGCTGCGACCTTCTCACCCCTAATGTCGGGTTGTGGCCTCCGGAAAGGCCAAGTGGAGAGCTGACCTTGTGTTCCAGTTAAGAGCAGGGTCTCTGAGGGTGCCAGCTCAGATCCCAACCCGGGCGGGGGGGGGGGGGGGGGGAGCAGTCACCATAGAAAAGACCTTAAGGGAGGACTGCAGGCCTTTCCTCTTGCTCCTGGTTGAGTCTTGGCTCTGCTGGCCTCTCAGACCCCAGCGCCAGAGTAGTCCCCCTCGCTCCACGTGATGTCTTAAGTTGAGCAGCCACTCTGGTTCTCCCACTGGCCCGTTCCTTCCCACTGTGGACACAGTATTGTCATGTGGGATTCAGGGAAAATCTATCTCCAAAACCTCGATGTTCTTCCCTCTCACAATCTCTGGCAGACCCCTAAACAGGGCCATCTCAGACAAGCAATGGAGGCAAAATTTATCTCCATAAATGATGCTGATTTTTTGAGGGCGGGAAGGGTATCAAGAGAGCTATGCTTTTTAAATTAAAGAGTTAGGAGACTTTAATGGAAGTTTGTTTAAATGCATGTTTATTTCTAACTTGGTAACTTGGTGTGTCTGAAGATACCGTGTGTGTGTGTGTGTGTGTGTGTGTGTGTGTGTGTGTATCCTTTAGTAACAGGGAAGAGGAAGACAGACAAGGAGATGGAGGCGTGTTTTCGCATATCAAACATAACACTATGAGAGAATCCAACTTGCTTTCTCTAGCAGCCTGACTAGAGGGTTGGGGCTAAGTTGCTAATCCTCAGTATTTTTGGTTTAATAAAGGGATGGGCTGTACAAATATTAATGTAAAGAAATGGGGAGACCAGTCTAGCCAAAGCAAAGAGCCCTGAGTTTTGGGCTGACGGGGCTGTCACTCCATTTCCCAGCCCTATGTTTTGACTCACTCCAGGGTAGCTGTGGTGTGGGGAGGGCTGAAGTCTGGGAGGGTGAGGCAAGGTTCCTGGAGCAGCTCTTTGCAGAGGAATCACTGCCCAGAGCCAGCCAGGCCAGGGAAAGTTTATTATTGTTGGGGAGTGCACAGTGAGCTCACTGTTTTGCAAAAACAGAAATCTGGCTGCTTTGAGATGAAAGAGGGGCTCCCTAGGGCTCTTCTTCTCCCCTTTCTCCCTATCCTTAAAAACTCCTCTTCCTTCGCACCTCGGGCCCAGAATGAGTGGGAGATTGAGTGCTGGATGGGGGAATAGGCTCTGAAGTTCAAAATAAAAATAAATACTTCTTGCTTCAACTGAACTTTATTACAATTAGTAGTAAGAATAATGTTCTTTAAAGTTTATGCAATTTACAAAGTACTTTAACCTGTTAACTAGCAATAGTACTAACATTAATATCAATACTAATAATACACAATACTTACCAAGAGGTTCCTATGAGCCTGACACTGTGCTCTGCATACTGTATGGTGATTTATGTTACAGTCTGTGGCAGTGGCAGATCCACAACTTCTGTATTTGGAAGAACTCAGTGGCTCAATCTGTTTGGAAGGGGAGGATTGGAGTTGGCTATAAAGGTGTATTTGCATAGTACTTTACAGGAGATTGTATGTAATAAAGAATAAGGGAGGGGCTGATGGAAATTTTGAGCATCCCAAATCACCTCTGAGAACCCAAGCTTGTCAAAGTCACATCTCAAATTAGATTTACTGGATTCAGATCTCAGCTCCCTCTCTAATGGCCACGTGACCTTCAGCAAGTTATTTAACCTCTTAATTTTCTGAGCCTAGAAATCAGCGTTAATAATAGAATCTACCTGTAGATAATATTGAGGGTTTAATGATGATACAAGTAAACCACCTACCAGCGTCTGGCTCACAGCAAGCCTCAGTGGACTTACCTCCTATTGTGACAAGAAACAAAATGAAATTTCAAACAGTTTTAATATGTTGGGAGCTATTATCCCATTTTGCAGATGTGTGGTTATGTGAAGATAAGTAACTAGTTCAAGGTCACAAAGCCAGTACAGCAGGTCTTCCAATAAAGACATTGCTTTCAAGGTCATTTCTTTATAACAGTGATGTTGATAAAGAAATACTGTAGGAACCCAACTCTCATTTATAACAATTAGCCTATGGTAAACTGGTTTTGCTTAAGGTCATAGAACTATTGATGATGTTAAGTGAGGTCTTACTGTAAGTGATGAAGAGGAAATTCCATCCTGGTCTGCCAGTCTCCAGAACCTGCATTTCCTATATAGCCTCCCTTTCTCCATCCCTACCCAGGATTATCTCAGTTTTTAATGAGGGGGAAAAGGCAAAATAACAACAGTAACAACAACAAAAAACACCCCAGACCCAATATTTAAAAGAATCAGTTGAATTGCCCCAACTAGAGCAACGTATCTGTTCGGCAATAAGCAATATGAGGAGCAGTGATCTTGTAAGCAGAAAAGAAATCATGGACTTGCTTAGCCTCCTGGCACCATGGAATGAAATCACAGCACGTGAGAAATAACTTTGTAAATTGTGCTGTGCTTTACAAAGAGATATCAGTATTATTAAATGCTGCCCCACCTTCTTTTATCAAACCCGTAAAAACCACTCACCTGTTTGGCCTCTCCAGCAGCTCTCCCTCCCTGCCCCCAACTGCAGCTGTGTGCAGCCAGTTGACTGTTTTCCTTAAAGGCCTCCGGGTGCTCGTAGCTTCTTTAGACATTCAGCCAAAATTTTTAGACTGCGGCTGGGGGGAGGGGTAGCTCACCCGGAATTCATTTAGCTCCGTCGTTGAAGCTCAGGTTCCTAGACTAGTACACAAAAACAAATCGAAAAGGCAGTTTCTGGAAGAATGGAAAACAGCGAATTTTGCAGGTGTTTCAGCATTAGTTGTTAGCAATGAATGTAATAGCCATGCCGGGGCGGGGGGCGGGGGGGAGGAAAGGTTTGATTGCAGATGAAATGGGTAATACTCTATATGAAATTCACAGCGAAAATTTGAAACGGGACATTTAAATTCACTGCCCGAGGTCGGGTGGGAAGCGGGATCGGAAATGCGCTTGTGGTTTTTAAATGCGTTTTTACTCGGGAAAGCCGGGCGAGGAAAGGAAAGGTCATCGGCTTGTTTAATTTCCACCCCCCCAACCCTGGACTTGCAGCATTAGCTCGCCGAGTCTCAGCTGTTGTACACACACGGCGAGGGGGGAGGGGAGGGCGGAGGCGCGGAGGAGGGGCCGACAGGGAGGAATCTGGGCGTCCTGCCGCGCATGCGCCTTTCCCGAGCAACAAGTGGGCTCCACAGACAGAGGAAGTGTAAAGGGGGGGTGGGGGGGGAAGAACTGGTGCAGAGCATGGTGGTGACGTCAGCGCTCCGCCTGGGCGGCATCCCGCGCGGCCAAGCCGGGGACAGCGCGAGCCGCAGCGCGAGCGGGAGCGCCGAGTCGCGCCTCCGGAACGTAGAGTAACAATCACAACCCCACATTCCGGGCGAGTGCAAGCGGGAAGGGATGCGACCCGTGCCCAGGCGCCGCGCGAGTGCCCTGCAGCCAACGTGAGCGCCGCCAGCCGCGGCGGTCCGGGTGCCGGCCTGGTCTGGGGGCGGCGGGAGCCTGCGTGCGAGCGCTCCTCTCTGCTCCTGTGCGTCCTGGAAGCTGTGGCCGTGCAAGTCCAGCAGCCGCCAGCGGAACAGCCGACGCTGCGGAGGGGCGAGTCTCCTCTCTCGGTTCTCACCCCCTCCCTGCCCCGGCCCTCCAGGAAAGCCGCGACTTCAGCAAGATTGGACCCGGGCACCGGGTGGCACTGAACCCTCTAGCCCTCGCCCCAGGGAGCCTGGCGGGGAGAGGACGCAGCTCGTAGGGGGGACCCTCAAGGGAGAGGAAGAGAGTCCCTTCGAGCTTCCACCCACCAGCCACTCCGGGGAGGGGGCCAAGAGCCCACGGCGGCCGGCACCGGGCACCCTCGCCCCCTCCCCCCGGGCCTGGAGCTTCCAGCTCGGGTCCGCGGCACCAGGAAGAAGGCGCCCGAGCTCCCCTCCGGACCAGACAGCCGCAGGAGGAGGTGGGGGCGAGTAGCGGGCTGAATTCGTCCGCTGCCCAGGTGGCGGAGCCCCCGAGGAGAAGTGTTGCGCCGGCGGTGGAGACTCGCGCTCCCTCCAGCCCCAGGGGCAGAACTTTCTCGCCCCCCCTCGCTCCCCCGCAGCCGGACTCACTCCCCAGCCGGCCAGTCCTCCCCGAGGAGAAGGCGCCGCGGAGACAGCCCGGGCGGGGGCCCACCTTCCCCAGGGCTGGCATCATGTCTGCGGCGCAGGTGTCCTCGTCCCGGAGACAATCTTGCTACCTGTGCGACCTGCCTCGTATGCCCTGGGCCATGATCTGGGACTTCTCGGAACCCGTATGCCGCGGTTGCGTAAACTACGAGGGCGCCGATCGCATCGAGTTCGTGATCGAGACCGCGCGCCAGCTGAAGCGGGCGCATGGCTGCTTTCCAGGACGGGCCGCTCCCCCGGGCCGCCGCCGCCCGTCGGGGGTCAAGGACGGTGGCCCCTGTCGGGCTAAGGAGGCGGCGGGCGGCGGCAGGGGAGGGCGGCGCCCGTTCAAAAGTAGCAGCCATATCGAGAAGCTGCCACAGCAACCATCTGAAACCACGGTGAAGGGTTCCAGGTAAACCTGCGTGGGGGGGGGGGGCCCCCGTTCGGGATTGGAAGCGGTATGCCCCCGATCAAGACCTCCGCTTCCGAGC